CTACACTTCGAGCCTTCATAAACGGCGAAGAAGTTCGCGTACCACATAGGAAACCCAAAGCTAACGCTGGACGCCATGCCGATGTTACTGCCCAACGCTCCAAGCTACTTTTCGAAGAAAGCACCGCATCCAGGACCTCCGAGAAAGCGGAAGAACTCGGCGGTCGAACCTACCATCTCCAAAAATACAGCACCCTGTGTTGACAATGAGGCCACTGATTCAGGTTCATCGATGAACCTTCCTGCTGACTACGAACCCGAAGTGGCTAAGACTACAGGGACTGCAGCTTCGCTGGAACACTTACTCAAGCTTTGTTTACCTTCAATCTATACGAGCTTGGTCACACTGCATCTCGTGTCAAAAAGAGCGGTGAATTACATGCTGTCACGACTTCATTTTTTCGTAAAGGGTATCAACCAGTCTCGAGAGGCAAAACGGAAAAAAAAAAAAAGCGGCTCGCGAAAATCAGTCTGTGTTCATAAAGGTGCCACTGTGATGAAGTGATCATGAACTGATAATTCCATGGAATGGCGTCGAATTTGATCGGTGTTACTGCTCACTTCAGTATGTGCGCTCGTAAATAAAGGGTTTCTTCTTACAGTCTGACAGTAGTGCCAAGTGATGTTTCCTTTTGACTGTAAAGTGCAATATCCTGGCCACAGCAGCAGTATTTCAGCAGGCACGTAATCGTTTAAGGACCCAAGATTGTCAAAATTATTCCCAAGTGTTCAGCATTGGCGTGCCTCTCAATCAAATGGCAGATTTGTCACCTTAGCTGCATAATTACAGTTGCATGATACAACTATCGATAAGAACTGTCCCGCGATCGTAACGAAGGAAGTCGAAGCTGTTGCAGTGTGCAGACTACAATGCGATATAGCAGTAATATAACAAGAAACTTTCGCGTTTATAAATGCTCCTTCGATACCTCGATTTAATCTTCCTAATCTTTTATTCGTTCACCAACTGAGCTTTAAAAACTGCAGGCTGTTTCCCAAGGGATGACTGCTTGGCCGTCGTTTGTTAATACCTGCATTAGGACCGTGCATTGCGGCTTTGACATTTCGTTTTCTTTTGAATGCAGTATGAACACAACCATTCAGAAAGCTTTTCGCGAATGGTTCAGCAAATAACACAAACATTATTAAGCGTGATGTATGCAAGCGCATGTCACAGGACTGAATCCCGGCCGCGGCGGCTGCATTTTTAGTGGAGGCTTAAATACTGAGGTGCGTGTGCCTAAATTTAAGTGCACGTTAAAGCACCCCAGGGGTGAAATTTCCGGAGCACTCTTCTATGGCGTCTCTCATAGTCATATGATGGTTTTGGGATGTTAAATTCCTGCTGTTACTAATATCAAAGCACTGAAGTGCATAAGGGACAATGCATGAGGTGACAGGATGAATGGATGGATTGATATGGCTGTAACCTTTAGATTGGGCGGTGGCTAATGCCATCAAGCCGTAATACTTAGTGAATTAAAAACTAGATTTATTTTTTTTCCCCTTTGAATAGTGAGGTTGAGGACTCGTACTTTGCGGTGAAGGGTTTTTCACTCATGCCTTGACACCAATCAGATAAAGTCCTCCTAGTTAATTCTACCCGCTTAAAGTCTATTTTGCCCTCCCTGTCCCTAAGCCCCAGTGCTTTGAGAAACTCTGCGCCATCATCCTGAACTTAAGGGTAAAGCCCTTTACACAACATTATTAAATATTCGGCAGTTTCCTCCTCCTCTCCACACGCACTGCATACCGCGTCTACCACTTCGTATTTGGCCCGATATGTCATGGTTCCCAATACTCTCTTCCTGGCCTCAAACAGTAGAGAACTACCCCGAGTATTATCATAGATCTTTTCCTTGGCAATTTCCTGCTTAAAAGTTCGATAGATCTCTAGTGCGAACTTCTTAATCATGCCAATTCTCCACGTATCGGTCTCAGCTTCCTTTACCTTCTTCTTAACTAATAATTCCTTTTGGTTTGGCCCCCTGCTGTTTTCCTAAGTATTTGCCAGTCAATTTTCCGGTTCGCTTCCTCCATTTTGTATTGCTTATGCTAAGGTGGCACCATCTCGCGGCTGTCGATACCAACTGCGGCAGCCACGGCTCCTCCCTGAACACACTACCCCATATTTTAGTACACTATAGTTTGGCATTGCGTAAGCTGTTTCCAGACTTTGGGGGTTCGGTGTTGACAGACTGCTACTAGATTTGGTGGAGAAATTTGCTCCTGTAGCTGTGACTTACCCTTGAGGGTTTTGTGTCGTCCGTGGTGCTTTTCACGAGTGCGTGAGCGACGTTGGCCATTTTAATTAACAGAATGAATGTAAAACAGGCATTTCAGAAGTCGGGACGCCTTTTCTTGCTGTGTGCGCAGCTGTGAAAATAATAGACCGTGTCTCAGAGTTAAGGAAACATCGACGCGTCGTCTGCTGTGCATTTCGCCAGTGTGTGTGCGATGAACTAGTTTGCGAGTGCGTGTGTGACGTTGGCCGTTTTAATTAAGAGTATGAACCGCATGTTGCAGAAGAGGGGACGCATTTTCTTGCTGTGTGCGCAGCTGCGCAATTCAGAGATCGTGTCTCGATCATTATTAGGGACGACACGTATGAATACGGGGAAGTGAATTTGTGAGCTGCGTCGCCGAAGCACGGAATATCTCCGTAGCTGTGCGTATCTAGTCGACTGCGCACAACGACGCGTTCTCTGGGAAAACTGAATAGGGTCCAACGATATGTCTAGTGCTGACACAGCTAGGGGAAGTGTAGCGCCTCCGTCGTCACACGTGGTCGACGCGGCACGATCAACTGTGCAGAGAGCCTACTTCTGAGATATGATCTTCGGACACGATCAGAAAAGGGAATCACACCGCGTGCTACCACTCTATTCAGTTTGTCCAGAAAACGTGTCAGTGTGCGCAGTTGACTAGGTACGCACAGCTACGGAGATATTCCGTGCTTCGACGACACGAGCCCGACGTATATTCAAACGCTGCTCACAAATTCACTTCCCCTTAAGCATTCATACGTGTCGTCCCTAATACAGACACATGATGTCTTAATTGCACAGCTGCGCACACAGCAATAGAACGCACCCTTCTGCAACACGCCCTTCATTCTGGTAATTAAAACGGCCAATGTTGCACATACAAACAAGTTCACTGCACACGCACTTGCGAAATTCACGGCGGGCGACATGCACCGCAGAGGACACAAAGACCTCACGGAGAAGTCACAACTACAGGAGCACGTTTCTCTGCCAAATCTAGCGGCAGTCTTGCAACAGCCACCCAAAAGTCTGGCAACTGAGATATGCAACTTGAAACGGAACCTTGCCGCTATCGCTTGATACACCAGCACCCGTACTCCTTGTACCACGACGCACTTATATGCACACGACGCGGCGAATTTCTCTCCTCTTTCTTCGCGCCAGTTGTCCTCGCTTGTGCGCCTAGACCTATGAGTTCAATGCCGATCGCTTTTCCAAATGTTGTATCGTGCGTCGGACGCGATGAACAGAAAACAATAGGGCCGGCGTCGAAAGCGCCGGCCAAGAATTCACAAGGCCGAGACCGGGGCGGCAACCGTTTATGTACGAATGGATGCTATGAGCGTTTCCTTTATAACGTGGTGGTGACATGTGTGCCACCAGGATCTCAAGAAAAAAAAAATGAAAAGAAAGCTTTCTTTTTATGTTGGCCTAATGCCATATCTACTTCAATTCAATCAATCTTAATATAACAAGGAAAAATGTAAATTTATGTTCTCTCTCCAGCCTCCTCAGGCAGAATGACCTCATTTTCCTACTATTTCTGTCCTTCATCTCTACTTTTCTGCCGCCAATGCTCAAACCGTCTCTTACTTGCTTCTATCGCGTATGTGTTCAGCTTTCCATGTTTGTCCCTGAAACTCAAAGCCTCATGTAGGCTTGTACCCACACGAATACCTGGGTGGATATCCCCTCATTCAATCAGGACATGTTCTCTTGTTTCTTTAGCTTGTCCACAGCATGTACATTGTTCTTATTTATTAAATCTCGCTTTATGACTACGCTTTCTGAGGCAACTCGATTTGGCTTTAAACAGTAAAGCGCTTTCCCTTGATATATCATGAAAACTCTCCCGCATTATATCGTTCTTGCCCTTTCCGTAGTCACTGAGAGCCAGCTTCTCTTTCATCGCTGCCGTGCAATAAATCCTCTCCGCACCTCTGTCTTTGCGCTTAATGCTCCTTGCAATATCGCCCACTTGCCAGCTGTATATTTACTGGTGAGCCTCCTAGTTTTTTCTTCTCCACTTTATGTCCATGCTCTTCCTATACAAATACCTGAACACATACCCTGCCCACCTACACTCTTTCATTTTGCTAAGCCTCTCTTCAAATCTCATTTTGTTCTGAGCTATCCTTACTGCAAAGCCTATCCATCCCATATCCCTATTCATAACCTCATTCATGTCTTCCTTTGAGCACCCAATGCAAGTCCTCCCACAGTCCTTTGATTTACATCCATACTTGATTGCCCCTCTGACTTCATGCACACCACCAAGTTTCCAAATGTAAGCCCTGGAACCATTACAGACCTCGAAGCACTCTGTACCCATTCTATCCCCATAATGCTATGTGCTTCATTATTGCAGCTTTCTTCTTTCTCGTTGCTGCCAATGTTTTTTCTTCCACCTCGATATATCTATCTCCCTGATTTACCCATACTCCAATGTACTTGTACTCGCTTACCCTCAGTATTTCTTGGCGCTGTATTGCGACTGCCTGGTGTTCACGATCATTGAATACCACCAATCCACATTTCGTTGCACGAAATCCTAGGCCTAGAGCCTCGCCTTTCATTTTGCATATATCTTGCAGTTGCTGTATATCGTCTTGACTGTCTGCAAATAGGACAGTATTACCACATGCCCTCCTCAAGTCTCGTTTTTCTTTTTTTTTACTCCCCTCTCACCCTCCCCATGTGTAGGGTAGCAAACTGGACGCATAGTCTAGTAAACCTCCCTACCTTTCCTACATTTCTTTTCTCTCTCTCTCTCTCTCTCTCTCTCTCTGTTATCGCCCCATTTCACTGTCAGTTATTCCCAGTGTAAACCGTGCCTACAGTATTCAAGGAGCTTCAGGACTGCAGCGAATCATTTTTTTAAGATTACGCCCACTTCGTGAACATTACAGATTATTCTGGAACCTACGTCGCGCTAGCGATAACCCTAGAATACTTGATGGCAATTGTATTTATGCCGACACGCTTCGCCGCTTGTCAGTTGTTTGACAGCAGACGCTCTGCTCGCCGCTATGAGTGCCAGTGTCTTGCTGTAATGTGACTTTAGTTTTATGTGGCCATAAGCTCGGTCCAAATAAACAATTTCATATTCGAGCTGCAGTCTGCTCTCTTCGTCCACGTCATGACCTCAAGGCATTATTGTCTGCATAAAATAAACCTGGAAGCTGCTGCTCAATCATCACGCCAGCCTGTTTGTGTAACAGATTAAACTCATTGTTGCTACCTTCTAGCGCTTTTTCCACCTTTGTCATGTACACCATGAATAATAGTGGGGAGAAAGGACATCCCTGTCTCAGCCCCTTGTTAATTTTAATGCTGGCGTCGCTACTTATTCCTTTCCATTTCTAGACAAACTGTATTTTCTCGGTATATTTCTCTCAAAAGCTGTATACAGTCGTCATCCATGCCCACTTCCTCCGATATGTCCCACGAAATTTCTTGATTAACGTCATACGCCCCAGTGATGTCCAGATAAGCTACGTATCAGGGCTTTTTTAGATATTTTTATACACTAAGTAAGAAATAACAGGTTATTGTCTAACCACCTGTCAAATCAGATTGTAATCGGAGTTTTCCCAAAATATCATTTTGCTCCGCCCATGTTTTTATTTTTACTTATATTGCCTGGATCGCCAACCTGTAAAACACAGATGTAATGGTTAGCGGTCTATACGAGCGAATGTTAACTTTTTCTCTCTTGCCTTCATAGATTAAATTCATCTGACTTTTCCAACAAGTGCCTGGTATTTCCTTCTCCTGAAAGCACATTTCTATGAATTTCAGCAGTGCCTTTTTAGGGCTATCTCCTAGTTTGTTTATTAGGCAGACAGGAACCCCATCTAAGCCCGGTGTAGTGCGCTTAGGAATTTTCCCTTTGACCTTTCTACAGTTGAAATTCTAAAGTGCTACTTCTTCCTCGGTTGCACTCTTTTCCATACTTTTACTCATTTGGGAAGTCCCCTGGGTGACCTTTTTAAACAAATCTGCTGTTACTTCTTGGATATAACCTAGTGTTTCGCACCCTTCCAATTTATTTCCCCCTTCATCTACCATATGTTTTTGCATTGTGACAGACTTCCTATCCAACACTTTAGGTGGCTACGAAATATTCTAGCCGCGGCCTTCTTTTTTTCGTCCATCTCTGTCGCCTAGCGTTCACGTTCACCTTTAATTTTTGCCTCGACTAATTCCTGCACAATGGTTTTTTTCTCTAAATATATTTCCCATATTTGGTTGACTTCGTCCTGTGTCTGCTTCGCCCTTTATTGCCTGTCTATGCTCCGGTGATGCCTCACGTTACTTCTTGATCACTTGCCGTATTTCTCTGTCACCGACATTTAGTCTTTCTGCTTTCTTTCCAGCAAATATCTTTCTTCTTTTTTTCCACCTCCCTCGTCATTACATGTAACAGCTCTGTATACTCCCAGTGTTTGCCCGGTAGTTTTCCTACTTTGTCCTCGACTCTTGTGGCTATATTTGTTGCTTGTGTGTCATTTAAATACAAGCTTCCAAACTTTGATTCTATGTTCTCATTATCAGTTTTATATTCCATTTGTAATGCTATGCGTTTATGATCATTACCCAAGCTGTTATGCCTTCTTCTATTCTCATCTCTCTTAGGTTTGCCATGGATTCCCTCTATCATAAGACAATAATCAATACTCGATTGCCTGTATCCGACTTCTCACGTAATCTGCCCCTCAGACTTAGGCCCCACATTAACTATCTCAAGACTATGCTACTCACAGAAATCTAGCAATAACCTGCCATTGGTGTCTGAATATCCTTCAAAGTCCTGTATGTGAGCATTCATGTCCCCTAGAAGGATTATTTTGGCCCCATTATCAAATTTATTTGATATTGGTGCATATGCAATTCATTATTCTCAAATTCTTTTCCTTGCAGTTATTCCCAGTCCACAAGTAAGCTACACCTAGTCATGTTTTCTTTTGCCCTACTGTGCCCAAAACCCAGAGGTGCCCTGAACAGGTTTGCTTTGCTCTATCCCGTTGGGCTTTGCTATGGACTAGCATTTCAACACCCCCATCTTTCCTTTGTGATAAGAGCCTGTTGCTTCCTTCTCAAGTATAATTCAGAATCTGGGGTGGCTCTTTCAAGTCTCTAAGGTGTGTGTCTGTAACAGCATACACACCTGTCTGTTCCTTGTTTAACTGTGCCTCAATCTCTAACCATTTTGCCTTTTTTCTGCCACCCTGCATGTTATTGTAACTAATTGCAATATGCACCGTCTTCCTTCTTTAACCTTTTTTCTGGTTTTTTCTCTATACCACTTGTCAAAGAGTTTCCCTGGTTGGTTTTCTTGCTACTAGCTATGCGTGCCCCCCCAAAAAAGCTATTAGGCATCCTGCAAGTCACGAACCCATCTTATGAACTAGTCTCCTATTGAATTGAATTCTGTCTCGTTGAAAACAACCCCACCTATACACTTCTCTGTTTATTCGCACTACCTCAAAACCTTTATCTTGACTCATCCGCCATATCTCTTTGTTTGCTTCGACTACCGCTCTTTGCTGGTTGCCATCAAGTATAGGTTCCTCTGGTGTCTTACATACCACTTCCTGTACCTGAGGAGAAATGGCGAGCATGTTATCGACCCCTTTTGCCAATATAGTCGCTAGTCCAACCGATTCTTCATTAAAGACATTGTTTAGATAGCCTGCAATTACCACGAGGTGTCATCTTTAAGCTTTAGTTGTGAGTTTTGCACTCGTTTTCCACATCACTGCTTCGAGCTTATGTCCTGGGAACGTCCCTATTGAAACTCTCTTGTCGACTTTCACCCTCTCTTTGATTGCTTCTGGAGATCGATTTACATTCAAGTCCTTGGCGATTATCACATGCCATGACTTCTTTGCTAGAGTGTCCCGCACATGGAGGTTACTTGTGCTTGTAACGCCAACTGCTTTGTCCCCTCCCACCCCCACCAGTACTTCGCGGAAGCTGGGTCTTGTGACCATTGAACCAATCGAACCCATTTTTTTCTAACATGTTTCCCCTTTCTTTTCCACCAGTCTGGGTGCCAGTGCCCTACCGTTTTTTACATTGCTCCTTTGTTCACCTTCACTAGCACCTCCTCGGCTGACCTATGCCTTTCTCCCATAGCCCTCGTTTTCTCTTGCTTTGTCACCAACGCAGTCTCCAGCTCAACAATTCTCATCATCAGGTCACTCTGGGCAATTGTTTTCCCCATTTTTTTTCTTGACCTCACGTTGCTTACACCTGGTGTCAGCCTCCTTGGCATTTACATCTGTACTAGCCTCCATTTTCAAACCCACCCCACATCCTGAACATTTTTGTCTTTTTAACCATGTTTTCTTGACACCAATTCACTAGTGTCCACGTGTAGCTGAATTGTCCCACTCGATAATTACAGGATGTGGCTTACAACGAACATTCTTTGAAGTAAAAAAGTAAGCTCTACTACAAAAATTTATGTGGTCGGTGTACATGCACCCCCCACCACATGGTGGCAGGAGAAAAAAACAAAACAAAAAATATTAAGTGACTGACCCCCCCCCCCCCCCAACAGCCGTATAATGTAATACATGCTATTTGCGGTGAGATCGGGCTAATAGTGGCAGCACCCTCCCAACGCAAGTGTGGATAGGTGGTCAACGGCGTGCATACAAATACACGCAGCAGCGCTTCTTTGCATGGGATCTGAGCCGATTGTCGGCGGATAAAATGTGTTGACTACAGTTTATTGTTAATATCTACACTCTTCTTTACTGAATCGGTGCACAACGCTTATGCAATGTTAACATTACCCCCGAGTAAAGTGCATCCTGCCTTTCATAGGGTGCTCCGCTCGGGTGACTCTCTTCACGCCTCTGCACTAAACAAGCCTTCTGTGCTGTTTGTAGGTGTTTAGCTTGTATTTTGCCTGCTACACACTGCTGTAGCATGACTGAACTACCTATGTAATCTTTATCATCTGCATACTACAACAGAGAGAAAGATAGTAGAAAGCCCACATATCTGTGCGATTAGTGCAGTACCATTGTTCGCACCTGATACACATGTGATTTTTTCTCTTATTCTGTTCATCATGCAATGTGGGACAGTCGATAAGTCTAGTCAGCAAAGCTTAGTGGCTGACGGTGGTTTGGGCTACACTGTGTTTACCATGTGTACACAAATTTTTTTGTACCAGTAAAAATATAAAAATATAACAATCTTATTTAATAGTTCAAAAATAAGCTTTCATAGATGTATTACGTGTGCTATAAAAAAAAAGCCTGGTTAATGGACAAACATGTTTTTTTTTACAGACAAAAAGTGACCACTGCCTTCCGTCGGTCACTAACAATGCCGCACAAATGATGAAGCCAATGTAAAAAAGATGAAATTGTCAGTGAAATATACGACATTGTATATAAGGTATGCCTTCAGAGTTAATTTTCAATGTCTGGGCTCTTTAAAGTGCTTTTAAATCTAAGGACTCGGCTACGCAGGCTAACTCTGTTTTAAGTACAGTTTATGTACCGGTGTGTCAGAGTTTATGTGATAGTAATATTTCTCTGTAATGGTACCACGGCCACATAAACACAACTAAGGCTCCTCGCATGATCGATAAACTATAGTGGCGTAGTTATTCACCTACTAACAGTGCGCAAGTGCATGGCCTAGACCCTGTGTTTCTTTCTTTTTTTTTTACAACTCTGTAGCTATAAAATGCTGCATTCACACACCATTTAATAGTCCTCATGTTTGGGAGGCAGCCAAAAGCATTTTGTGATGTGCTTGAAACAATGTGGCACCCACTCTGAAGTTATTTTGATAGATGAAGGGTACGACGACAAAAATTAGAAGACCCTTAAGCTTCGCCTTTAAGTGTTGAACACGATAGAGAAATCCGGCCGCCAGTGTGCCCTTTAACCACTAAGTGCATACTTATTATGTTTGCTTACACACAAATGCATGCAAGCGCGATGTATTTATAATAATAGTGCAGGTTTTCGATCTATTTAACAGCACTTTTTAACAACTTCAGGAAAATATTATACAGTGATATAGTCACATGTCCTGTATTATGAACTGCGCGTAGGCCTGACACCTGTATTTGTAAATGATCAGTGAAATGGCAACTGCAGTTCTTCATTTCTTTTATGGTGTCATGAGAATAAAAAGCTAAATCTATGCAAGTGTTGTGGTTTATTAAAATGGCATTTCCTTGAAGGGACATAAAGAGTCTCACAATGCCTCACAGATGGCAGCACATTATCTAGCACTTGCTGTTTGCTTGATCAACGCCTCTGGAAAGGCATGACATGTTTTCCGCTAAATAGACATAGTTGTCCATTTCTAGAGCTGTTTGAAAGTTCCTGTGTGTTTTTAGCCACGATCGCTGCATTATCCCGGCCTTTTTGACATAGTTTTATGGCCTCCCAGATGCGCCTACAAATCGCCAAATGGGCTAGTTTTCATCGTGACAGCTGTCGAACAAAATGCGTTAAGGAGAATCTTTCCACTACATCGCATTTATATAGTGTTTTTGCCCAAAGCAGTTCCAAGGAACATCGGGGCTTTGTGGTAGAACACCTGCTTGCCATGCAAATGACCCAGGTTTTATCCTCAATGAGACCGAATATTTTCTTCTTTATTTTATTTTCTTCTTTCTCGATTTTTCCCTCACAACGAACGCTGCCGACGGCGGGATTTCTGCGACACGAGCTCTCTAACGCTATCGCGTTAATAAACAGCACTTTATGAAGTTGCACTCGCCGATCTTATTACAATGCATTAGCAGCCGAGCAAGACCAAATGCTTTCGTACGTCGTTTCAGGCACACGTAAAAGCTGTTACACTTGCGTGGACATGACTGGACAAACCACACTTTGAGAACGTGCATGACGTACACGCACACAGAACACGACGTCGCTAGCAGACGCGCGGAGCAATCCACACTTCTCTTCTTCGGCTAGTTGCCGCCAGGCGGCAACTTTGCTCAATCTCACGGCCAATAAAGGTCTCATACTACTGCCTTACTAATTAATAAAAGCAAACTAAAGCATACAAAAAGGACATCTGTGCAGTCGGCCCAGAGCCCTCACAAAACACGACCATCCGCTGCCAAACCTACTAGCCAGAAAAACTTTCCGGTTAGGAGTCTTCTTCCTCTGGCCTCTGCAGTGAACTTGCAGCACGCAAAAAGGCACAGTGTAGGCTAGCACGGCATTGTGAGTGTGTCACACAGCATCATACAGCGCCCTCGGGGGCTTAGAGAACCGGAACCAATACCAGAACCAACTGGTCGACACCACATCATCCTCCTTTTAATGAAATGGACCTGTGGGGTTTCTATCATATTATAACAATAAAGAAATGCAGAGCATACGCACAAATGGAAGAGTAATGGCATCTAAAGAATACAGCATATGATCGTCCCCTCAAAGAAGATGTCCACACAGTCATTTAGACTTCAGTCTACAGCGTTGACGCGCCTTTAATGGCCCCATTTCTGCACAACTTGACAGAAGTGAACTAACTCACGATGTGCCGGCTAGGCAGAAGGAGTACAAACGTCAGGTGACTTCTCTACCTTTCCGGGAGGAGTCTTCTTTCTCTGGCCTCTGCAGTGAACTTGTAGACACCGACAGACACAGTTGAAGCTGGCACGGCATGTGAATGTGCCTCTGGGGGCACGAAGACCAGTAGCAATCTCTGTAATACCACCCACACTTAATAGCCTCGCAGCAGGAGTATACACAGTAGTAGGTATGATGGCTGTAGCAGGAACAGTAGAAGAATGTGCCGTCGGAAAACAAGTACGTGCAGCATAAGCCATAGCGACAGAACCGACCTGAGCAGGCATCACCAGGGCAGGAGTCGTCATTCTGTTTTGTAAGGTCTGGCATGACTCTTGTCCAAGTGGGAACATATGTGAATGCTGTGCCACACAACATCAATGACAAAGTAGGGGTACGGGCAGTTGGGACGCGAGCCAGTGGAACATGCATTATTGCAACATGCCCTGTCAAAGCAGGTATCGTCGAAGTACAGGAAATCGTATTATGGCCGGATCTGACAGCAGAAGAATGTCTTGAGAATCGGCAGACTCCTACATGATGTCCTTTTCTTCAGCATTGCAAACAGGTGTGATCCCTTGCCGGAAAAGTGGTAGCGTCGGCTCAGTGCTGTGATGAACCGCAGAGGAAGCACACTCCCACGGTAGCCGACGGCGACGCCAGCGAAAAGAAGTCGGACGCGCCGGTCAGTGAGGTAGCTCTCACAGTTGCCGGGCAGCCAGAGAAAGAGGGTGCAAAGAAACGTCAATGTAGACACTTACTGAAGTGTGCGTTCGGAGTGCTTCTTTTTTTTCGCTAAATCCAGGGTCTTTGTACTGAGAATTTCGCTCCCATCTTTAAAAAATTCTTCTCTGCAGGTTCGGGGACACGATTCCTGCTATAATTTGGCCGAACGGCAGCACGTCCGTATTCGCACCAAAATTACCAAAATCGTTTAGTAGAGTAATATAGCTGTTCTATTGTTGTACATCGAAGCAGAGCCGCTATGAAAAAGAGGCATCCTGGGCATCGTCACTGTCACCTTGTGTAGGTTTTGCGCGTCAGTCACCTTTCTTATGCTAAAAAAAAACTTCGTCTCATAGTCTGGCCATGCTTGCCTTTTGCTTTGAGCACGGACGGCCGAGACGATGTAAGTAGGTCTTTGCAACTTCTTGCTTCAAACGAAACCAAAACAGATAAATGAGCTGATTTCTACTGTGAAAGGAAGTGAATTTGAGCTTCTTGGACCAGTGTTTTCTGCTCAAAGCATTGTTGCGACAGGCACTACCATCAGGGTTTATCGCCATTCCATTTAATGGGAATGCCGGTGAAGTCTGCATCCTGTATGTCGTGTGCCATCCATCTTTGTCCACGAGTAATGGTGGGCAGGCTCCGAGGGTGGCATTCTCGACAAGACGAACAAAGCAGGTGTGATTTCGTATTCATATCGTACTCCACACAAGCAATCCGTACTTCTGTTAGATGTCAGTTTGCGATTTATTACGTACCGCTGACGACTTGCAGAGTAGATGTAGCGCCAGCTGAATGAAAATGCAGATAAAGCTCAAAGCAGCAGATGCCTTCTTCCTCCTCTTTACTACAAGTATTTAAATAATTTACAGCTCTGCGGAGGCTTATTTACAGAATTTAGGTTATCTTCAACTTCAGTACTGTAGAATCACATAAATGTAGTTTGGTATCTGATATTATTCTGTCATACTTCCCAAATCAAACTGCATAATTAAAGGTATAGTAGGTTTGACTTGTCATAACAACATTGATGTTGATAACAAAAAGACGAAGCTGAGATCAATGCTAGAAAAACGGGACACTAGACGATTATGCAAAAGTATAAGTTGTTTCACTATCTCACTTTAAACACATCTCAAAAGTATTCGTTTGAATACATGCCCTAAGTACTCCTTTTATTCTGCATGTGTCAGTAACCCATCTATTCATATATACTGTTGCAGGTTATTCGAGAGCTGCTTGCTGTAGACAACAGCATTGAGCAAACGTCAAGACCCAGTGATTCTGGTGAAAGAGATTACGTAAGTGGGCTTTCACATCTCTTGGAAATAATGTTTAGCATCATCACTAGTAACCACAGAAGCCGGTTTATTTCAGGATGACATTCCTGCGGAGCCAGTGTACAAAGCAGGACAGAGTCTGGCTTATCAGTCTGGACAAGCAGTAGAGACACCACCACAGCTAGTGTGTGAGCAGCATCAAGTCATAGATAAGTCTGTTCAAGTCGGACTGCTAACACACCACGAAGCATCACAAGCAAATGAAGAGAAAATTCTGTCAACAAGTGCCACACAAACAGAGCCCCAAGCTGTGTCTTAAGGTATTTCTTTGCATTTGCCGTAACATAAAGTCAGTGTTTGCTGCAAGAGCAAAGGAGTGAATGCTACAGTAACAAATAGGAATACTATTTTAGGATAACAGCTGACACCTTTGAGATTCGTTTTGGCCTCATTCTACTAAAGGCCAACGTTGAGGTTGTTTTACAGTGAAAGCTGTTATGAGATTACCACCAGAGCCAGTTGGGCACCGCGGTAGTTTGTGGAGATAGGTTCGCACTAGGCTTACCTACTAAGCGCAACCGTGTAGGGATGCGACGTCCTCCAGTGACGCTGCGTGCGATGACGCTGCAGCTGGGTTAGTCATTTTCTCCGACACGGCGCAGAAACCACGCACGAGGCAGGATAACAACAACGACGGGTTTATTAACCCCAGATGCAGAACAGTGCGACACTCACGGGCTTGCAGGCCGTGTAGTGAACTTTGCAAGACCGAGCAAGTTCGCTTGCCTACGGCGCG